ATGAGTGAGCGTGTTTGCAGATAGCTGAATAAGCAAGCAGGCGTGTAATCGTGGCAGTAACATCGGGCCGTTACCGGAAAGCGAGAAAGAAAAACCGCCAGAGTTAGCTAGTAATCCGGGCTCGTAAAACTTGGTGGCATAGAAAGGGCGAATAAACGTACGAAAACGGGTGAATAAGCAGACGAGTTCAGTTGCAGAGCTGGGGAGGAACCACTAAGCGAGTTAGAGTACAGGGGACAAGGTTCCCCCGTGTGAACCCCCGGACGAGTGGCCGAGCACGACGCCCGCTAACACCGCTCCGATTCGATCTTAACTCCCGCGTTCCTGGGGGCTTCCGCGCCACGCTCCGCCTCGCGCCGCGCCGCTTCACACCGCCTCGCTTTGGCCGCCCAGCCAGCCTGGCGCAGCCCTTAATTTGGCGCCTCTTAGTGACCGGGTAAATAACAACGGCGGCGGCGGCGGCGGCGAGCGCGGGTTGCGTGCGAAGTCGGTAATAAGCGCATTCCTGCGTCTCGCGGCGCTGTGAGTCGGAATGCGCGGAGGCCCTTGATCCGGCGCGGAGCCGGATAATTGAACGACTCCTCGGCGTTGCGTGGACTGGCCCGCCGCCCGCTCGGCAATCGAATGTGAGGCGCTGGTGGAGATATCGGTGGCGCATAGCGTAAGGGTTTCCGAACTCGTGCACGATCAAGGTCCCTCCGTCCGACGGCTCGTTGGGAAGGCAAGGAAGGCCTGCGGAAAGAATGAGGTCGTGCTTGAGAGAGGTGGGTTCTGGATATTCAGAAGATTGGTGATGGGATGAAAGAAGGCTGACGGGAAATGGCGTCGATATTGTAAATATTGTAAATAAAATAAATAATTGAAAAAATTGTAAATAATGAGGCAGTATTGAAGCATTCCCATACACTCTATGAGTATATACATGAGGAAGAAAATAAAGAGGAAGTTATCTCTCTATGACAAATTGAATTAACGTAGTTCAGCTCCTATACGAGTAGTGTAAATGATTATAAAGAAAATAGACAAAAAATAATTGAAATATAGTATAAATGTTGATTAAATAGAAAACGATCTAGCGTCAGTATTCGGCGATGGGTGAGAGCAGATTGAGTGAAGTAATTAGAGTAGATCTTTACGAAACCAGTTGCTCGTTTGAGAAAATTGCCTTCTGAGAACGAAATTTCTCAAATGTTCTTCACAATACAAGTTTTTTTGTGATACTGTTTGGCAATGGCTTCCCTTTAAGTAATCTTAAGATTGTAATCTGTAATCAATACATGTACATTCGGTCCATTGGCTCAAAAATTGCTCCCTATCACAATTTTACTTCGCTAAACTAACAAATATTTGCTTTGGTTTATTGATATAATGTTTGCGCAAAGTGCCCAAGATGTCTCTGATAACCGGCATGCAAACAAAATAAAATTTAAAACGCACTAGGAAAATCCTGGAATCTTTTCTGAAGGATTAGCCGTTTAAACAATGTAAATTACTGATTTTTCAGTTGTGGGTATTCACTTTTTTTAAATCAAAATAAAATTTTCTGAAGCTTATTTCATTACTTATCGTTACTTATATGCCTCGTAAAAAATACACAAACTGATGTCAAATTGCAAATGTTGACTTTTCAACGTTCTCTTCTTGCTGGAAGCACTTATGTGTACTCTTTCATATAGTTCTTTTAACGTAATCACAAAGGACAATTTCGAAATGTCAGCAAAGCTAATTTTAAACACCTCACCAAGTCATCACAATACAAAAATCCACGAAGATTTCCGGCCAGGGGCTCTTCAGAAAGCAGCGAAAAGCTCTCTTTGCACCTGCTGGCAATGACGCGGCAAAGAACGGAGCCTTTTTCTAGGAGACGCAGCTAGCGCTCGTTCTGAGAACGGCGCCTCTGCAGGCCGCGTCCAGTAAGTCGCGCAGGCGGCGGACGCGTTCGCTCGGCAGGCGTCCAACTCCCCTAATTCGTATGTAATTGCGCTGCGCACCGACAGATGTAATCGTGTCCACGAAACGAAATTCCTCAAAGACGCCGCGGGCTTGCTTCGCGATATCGTTGGCGAACGCTGGCGCTTCGTGTTTGTTTGGACAGCAGCAAGGTGCTCTCCAACTCTCTAATGGAGAACTGTATGACGTGCAAATGGCACCGGGTGAATGAAAAAAAGGCGATAATATTTTCGAGGGCTTTGAGACGATAATGTAAATTTTGATGATGCGGGATTACATGACTTTTCGACAAATTCTTGTGCGTTATTCCAGTATGTTTTTTACGAGATTTTTAGTGATGTTTACAGATTTATATCAATATTTGTTCTGTAGTTACATTCGCTACAAATGAACATCCAATTGTTAATTTTTCTTTCTGAAGTAAGAAGAACAAGATGAAAATAAAGAAAAATACTAGATGCGAAATAATTCAAGCCATGTGTTTTACTAGGTACCTTGTTTTAGTGTTCAGACTCTTGGTTTTGACAATTTGCTCCGCGACTTCCGAGAAAAAAATCAATGATATGCAGTAAGAAAAAAAGGGACCCCTTGTTTCATAAAATCGGTTAAAACACATAATTAAAAACTGTGCACCGGTGACACGGGTCCCTATATTTATTAAAGAAGACATTTTATTCTTAGCTGACTCATTCAAAACTTTTAAAATGAAAAGATTTTAAAATACTTCTTTTGTGATTGTATTCTTTAAACGACTCTCGTAACTTTGCGGCTGTCACAGCTACAACTTTGAGAACCTTTCCTACACAAAGATTTTCGCACTATGGTCGACCTACTTTGTGATGTCGCCCGACGTATTTTTTAGGAGATCCGAAGCTGCTCCGCAGGTATGCTCCTCTCCCTAGGAGGCCAACCGCGAGTGTCTGGGAGGATGGAGGCAGTAGGGGCGAGGACGCGGTGGTGGTAACGCACGGAGATAACACACAGCGGCGGTGGTGATGGCGAGGGAGGCAGGCAGGTGGGGAAAAGTGGGAGGGGCAGACGAGGTTGTGACGTAGGTTGCGGTGAGAGAAGAGAAGTGGCGATGGTGGTCATGTTTGGGCTGGAGGTGGTGGAGAAGGTTGTGCTGAGGGTAGTTGTGGAGGCGGTGAGGCCTGCGGTGGTTCCGTCGCTATATTTATGTTGGTCGCGTCGGCACTGTTTTATTCGCTGCCTGCCCTGGCATTTCTTTCCCGAGGGATGGGCCCACAACTTGTCCTCCTCTTCCCCTGCTGTCCCCCGGCGCCTGCCACCTCCGTTGGCTGCAGCCCTGCGGGACATCTCCGGCGCCCCCCGCCCGCCCGCCCCCGCTGTAGTTCCACGAAAGGCTCTGACAACGATATTACAAACATTAGCTTCGATGGTTGTCCACGCTTTCCTATCTATTCCTCACTTTTCATCTTCGTCGCTACGACTTTCTGCTCACAATTTTTCACACCAAATTCGTACTAATTCAATACCTTCATTATACCGAATAATCTCTCTTCTTTTAATATTTTTACGATCGTACGCTTCTGATGTTTCCTCTATTCAGAGGTCTGCAATTTTCATTACCGCCTGCTACTGTCTTTATGTTCACTCTGTATCTCTTTGGCTATTGACACAATTCTCCCGTCACTGGCTCGTATCCGCTCTTAGGAAGCTGTACACTGGGATTGCCGTTGGCTTTATCGACCAGCGAACCAGCCTCCGCCCCTTGTCATCACTATTCTCGAGTCGGCNCCTGCTACCTCGCCCGCCGCCGCCGGTCTCCGTCGTGACTCGCCTTCTGTTCCTTTTGCCCCCTCCCCGCCTCGTGCCCACAAAAATGTTTTCATTATTTCTTTGCGGCCGACAGCAAATAGTGGTTTTCCGAGCGCCGAGCGGACAATGCGACGAGGCCGCGACGCGCTCGGTGGTTTATAAGGGCCGCGCGCGAGTGGTGCATCCCCTCCGGTGGAGGGGACGGCGTTTATCTCCCTCTCCCTCTCGAAGCTCGCTTCCGAGATTCCCTTGGGCGATCTTTGCAGAAATTCGCGTTGTTTACGAAGGCTGTTTGGAGTGCGAGATAAAAAATGATAAAGGTTCTCAAAAGCCCTTACCCAAAAATATTCTTACAGATTTGTATTATCAATGCTAAGAGCAACTGATAATGAGTTACTGTTGCATGTTATTAGCTAGAGAACGCAAGAGGAAACAAGTTTGTATGAAATACGTCTTTGAGGTTGATTTGAGGAATGTCATAATACAAGACACTTTAATTTTATGCTACATTACGAATTAATATGTACTACAAGTCATCGTATCTCAATGCAGTTCCCGAAGGAGTCATTTCCATAAACAAACTTTATTAGATAATTATATGAACAACTTCATTACTTCTTTACTCTTTGAAAACCCAAAGTCGAATCTTATCACCGAACAATAAGTTGTAAATTTATTGTAAATGAATTAAGAAAGGTGATGATTCATATATCATCTCACAGTTTCTGGTAATTGATGTATCAAATATTTCTTGAAATTGCACAAAGTGTCACATTAGTTACTGCTACTGTTAGAGACTGCAAAATTACTATTTTCCTCATTAATTCATTCTTAAAAAATTGCACTCCGATAGCCGTGAACGTTGTAACTTAAACTCTGTATAACTGCGTAGTTGTCCAGTAGGGAGTGGCGTACGTGTGACAATTTGAAGTGAATATCAAATCCATTATCTTCTGCTTTGAAACAGGATAGACAAACATTTATAATTTTTCTTTCTAAAAAGTTTTGCCTTACCGATATTTAGTAAAATGAGATAAGACAAATTATTTATATCTAACAAAATATTTTTAATTCTCACATGATTGAGTAATACTTTCTGTAAAAGTAAAAGGAACACTGATGAACGTTAAACTTCATCTTATTTGTGTTTTTTACGTTCCTGACGCTTTTATATTCATTTCGGAAAAGCTTTAAACATTGAATATCTCTTTTGTGAATTGTTTTGACGCTGTGCAGCACAAATGAAGATGAAAGCGTGGAGCCACAAGTACCTTCCTGACGGCGCCTTCCCACTCCATGCGCGTGGCTTGCCCGGGAGCCTCCTCCGGCCGACGTGGATGCAAAGCGTCGCTCTGGGGAATAGAAACAGGGTAGACATGTAGACAGGCAGAGAGCGGTGCAGCGCATGCGGTGCCGATGGCGAGCGGGCAAGCGGTGCTCAGGGCGAGAAAAAACACGTAATGCGGAATGTCAAAATCACTCTCAAGAGGAAGAAAGAAAAGTTTGTGAATTCGTCGATGAGAATGTTTGATTTCGGGTTGATTCATGGATACATCTCAATCAGATTTTTGAAAGGAATACAAAGAATGTGTCCAAATCATGCTCATACATTGTAGTCGATTCTGTTTCTGGTATGAAAAAATCTGCTTGAGTGAGGACTATTGAATCCCTTGATACTTTATTATGAGAGACAAAGTGTCTAAATGATCATCTGATAGTCTTGTTGACATGACTAAATATTTATTTCTAACGCAGGGGAAACTTTTTGTCGCACCCCGGTTGAAAATAACTTTATCTGGTCAATTGAAATTGTTTATGTTTTTGCAGAAATCTAAAAATATTGTTTTTACTCTAATCAACGGAAGTCACTTATCGCTCGTTAAACAGAAAAGGCTCCCCCATTTTTACAGAATTGTATCTTGTTTCTTTCATTCAGACTTCTGGGGACACCATGTCTTTTTACTTTTCTCGATCTACGTCACTAGATTTTCTGAGTATTAACCCATGAAATTATACGATCCTCCCTCGTATAATCAGAGACGTTAACAATGTAAGTCATTCACTGGTTACATGTTCACAGATTAAGTGCTTTTACGATTGAGCAACTTCCACACGCTAATGTCAGATTAGCCGGTCCGGATGACCAACATTGCTGAGGCAGTAGTGCCGTAGCGATCTCGGACCGAAGGGTCGCCGGTTCGAGTCCCGCCTCAGGCATGGTTGTATTGTGTTCGTCCTTTCACACCCCTATCATCATCATCATATCGTGTCATACTCATAGTTACCATACCGTTACACGCAATAGTAGTTGCTAATGACCTACTAGTTGATACGACCTTAACTACCAATTTTAAAAAAAGGTCAGATTAGTATCTTAAGTCTTCTTAAGCTTAACCAAATAACAGACCCCTATTAAAGATGTGTATTCCAAAAAGAATATGAAATTATACTACCTTTTCAATTAGAAAAATTAGAATATTGAAAATAAGTTTCATATTTAGGAACTAATTTAAACATTTTGTAATACATATTTGGAGCCTCTGTCTAGTGAAGGCACTAACCGCTTACGTAGCCTGCGTATGTATTAGTCCACCCCTGCGCACTATACTATTACCATCAACCGGTTCCGATTACATGCACAAAATTTAAAACAAAACTTTCCAAGGCGTCTGGGGGGGGGGGACAGGCCGTGCAACACGCAACATCACCGTCCCGCTCGCCCGGGCGACATGTCACACAGCGCGCGGCGCGGCGCCGGGACAGGTGACAGCGAAATGGCGGCGCCGCCGACGCCGACCCGCGCGGACGAGGAAGCGGCCCGGCGCCGCGCGGCGACTGGGCGAGGCCGCCACGCGAGCGGGCGTCGCGACGCCCTCCCAAGATGGCGGCGACGCCGGCGGGCCGGCCGCACAGTGGACGGCGGGTGGACGTGCGAGAGAGGACACGCGACGCGGAAGTCCCTTTGCGTACAGTAAACCCTCGTCAACGCCATTGCCAAGGCATCGAATTAATGAGCGTTCGTGCTAAACGTTCGGAAATCAGCGATATCCGATTATTATTAATCAGAAAATATCGTATTACTGTTTCCTTGACGAGAAACAAATGTTGTCCCTTTTACGGCGAAATGCGTGTTTAGCGAGTACTACGTGCTAATGGGGATGTCGTTCTGGATTACCTACGTTAGCATATTTCGGTTTACTTAACATACAATTGTATAAACATTGTCAGTAGTATATACATAATGTTTAGTTCCAAGGGTAAAATAACGGCGGTATTGTGCTGACGTGACAAAGATTATCAGAAGTTGCAAATCGTAATTGGTCAAAAAATCTGATGTTGCTAGTGTTCTAATTTTTTTGAGATTTGCTTGTGACTATTCCACTCGTGTAATTAAAGCCAATGGTGTTTAATTATACAAACAAAATCAGGGAGGTGTATCTCAAAAACTTGATAGCTTTATGTATTCTATTTTTCTCACCAATTCTTGATACTGGACAATCATAAACTGTGACTCATTTTAGGAGGCGGTATACATCGATCGCTATGTCGATGTCCAATAAACAGAATATGTACATCTTTGATTTTAACATGGCGTTCACTTATTTTCAATTTTTGGCACGTTTTGGAACTCTGTTGGACATAATTTCACTCCTATTAAATTGCCTACTACTTAAATTGATCTTTTTAAATTGCTGAGTAGTCCTATTAAATACCACTCGTGCTTTTGAAATTCTCAGATGAATTCTCTCCGCGCTTCGCGAATCGGGAATTTATCGACAAGTTCTAAAGCACTCGTGGAATTATCTACGATAAGTTCAGACATATTCTACTTGGGTTTCGAAGTGCAATTAGTTGATATTCCTTGAAACAAATTCAATCCTACCAATAATTCTCATATTTCCTGCACTGAAAAGTCAAAACCTCGTGAGTAAGATTGGCATAAGTAACTTTCTGCGTGATCCAGCGAAAAAAATCTCTTGAGATAGTTTATTTCTTCCGAGAATCGCAGTAGAGCAACTTCATCCGCGAAATTACGTGTAACCCGCCACGACGTAACATCACTGGTGCGACAATCTCGTGACGTTGGCGTGAGCGGGGCGGAGACGGGGGATGGCGGGGGGGGGCGGCGGCATTCGGCGGCGGAATGGAATGCGCGGCGACGCGCTCGTCGCTCGAGGCCGGGTGAAAATGGGCGGTCGGTCAAGGGATACCCTTCCGTGCTTTAACGCCCCGCCACTCGGTCGCCATTGATATTCGCGCCGGCGGCCCATAATTTCCCGGCGCAGGGGTGTTCGAAAACGCGAGCGCGCGGCGCGGCTCGCCGTGCCGCGCGGCACCCGTCGCCATTTGGGGCGGAGGGGAGGGGGCTGGGGCGGGAGCACTTCCGGGAGGATCGTTTAACTTTTCATACCATCTTTAGGAGCTTAGATCACCACTGGTGGCAGTGATAATCTGCATTAATATCATTTTAATGTAGTTCATTAATTAAAACAGAGTATATACTAAATTTTGTCATGCAAGCAAAGAATTTTAATTGTCGTCGTCCTTCTGCTTGCAACTCCACTTATTCCTCTGAATATTTCTAAAGCCGCTCGGGGAGTTGAGTGGCGTATTTCTGTAAAAATGAGACTTCAGCACTGTGAAATGTGGATGCGATAAAAATTCATTCAAAAATAATAATGAAATCAGGATCAATTGTGGTTACATTATTTAGTTATTTTATAATATTTTGAAAAAATTTTGATAATATCACTAGGAAAGTCAAGAACAGTGAGGATAATTTTAACTTATCTTTTTTGAAGTGCAAAATATTGTTTGAAGTTGGTATTAGTGAAAGTATCAAACAGTTTCTCAATAGAAAGGTGTGCTGTTCTTCCGTTAAGTGGTTTTGGTACTATTCACGTTTCTATTGATTTGTTTCTGACCCAAAAAGTTATTGTTTTTATTAGTTTCACTTTTTTAAGTAAATTTAAGAAATATGTTTTAGTTCAAAATTTTACGCGCGTGTTTATTTAAAACCACGTTCTTGATCTTCTTGATCCAACTTCTTGATCTCGTGACAAAATATCATGAAATTTCTATCAAAATACGACAGATATATTTAGTAAAACATTAATGGAAAATAATTCACTTATTTTAGAGTACTCTTCAATTTTCATGACATGTCTGCAGCACTGCCTCAATAATCAATGCCACTTCAAAACACGGTTTAAAGCAGATCTTGCAAAAGTTGTTTCTTTCACAAATATTAATAGTCACGTACATTTTAAGTACCCAATGGATAACGCAGTGTGTAATATTAATGAGAAGGTCTAATCGCGGGATGCCCTATCCATAATATTTCCCGTCCAGTCCGCAAATCTCTCTAGGAAACGTGAGGCATTCGTCAGAGACGCGCAATCCGTCGGCTGTCGAACCTTCCCTCTCACACAAATCAGTGCCGCTGCGGGCAGCGGCGTCTGCGGGCTGGCGGGGGTGCGGTGAGGTGGGGGGGGGAGGGCAAGGGGGGCTCCGCGGGGACAGGCGCCGCCTGGCGCAATGCGGCGGGAGCTACTCCCGCGAGGCGCATCCGGGAGGCGATCGGGGACACTGTCCGATGAGACGAACAGCCTCCTCGCGCGGAAAGTCTCTCTCATTTATCGCCGCGAATTGCGCTGGATGAATCAGCGTCACTTGTTTGTATTTCTGCAGTTATGTCGGCTGCTGGAAAATAGAAAACGAGCTGATTTGTCGTTTCCATTTCGCGGGAGTTAACATGTCGTTGTCAGATTTCGCCAATATAGCTTGATTCTCGTTTGCAATGCTATAGTTGGGCGTTGGGAGATTGCAGGAGCATATTATGTTTTCATTCCGTTAATTTGTAATACGTTATTCAATGTATTTGTCACTGATTGTAAGAGTAGTAGGTGCTGATAAATATCAACACGTCACTTCACGTATAGAACATGATACATATTTTCATTGACATTGGTAGACACGATATGCTTAAATATTCGTATCAGAGGAAGTACAATTCTTTCCTTTCTGGTAAAATGTATTAAAAACCTTTGATGCAATACAGTTAGGTAGTTCAATAAGTAGAAATACTTTAGTTCGTATACGACGGTATGATCGAATCACTATTATGCGGATTATATAGGCATTATCGGCAATATAATGTTACATTTTATATAACGGTACGTTTTCAATTCAAAACGCACCAAGTGTTCGCCGGAAGTGCGTCCACACCCGGGCACTCTTTCTCCGCCACACATAGCACTCGCATCTTTTTGGTCCATCCCCCGCTCCGTTCCCCGTTCGCGGCTCGGCGTCGCGTTGCCCAAGCTCCCCCGCCCCCGCCCCCTCCGCGCGT